CCCCCCCCCCCCCCCCCCCGCAGCAGCCACCCCAAGCCTCACAGCACTCATGCCACACTGGACCCTTGCACCTTCACCGAGCCCAGCTGTGCTTGCACCTCCTCAGCCACCTGCACACCCCCATGTACCATTCCTGAACAACACTGCGCTCACTCCACACCTCCCTGGCCACCTGCACACCCTCACTGCCAGGCAGCAGCCATTTACCTGCCTGCTGGCCTGTTTGTGAGCCACCTGGGACTTGCAACTTCCTGCTGGCTTCCCTACTGACTTTGGTTGCTGGAAGCCAGAAGGAAGTTGCAAGGAGGTCTTCACTTAACAACCTGCAAACCTCGCTTAACAACAGCAGCGGGGACTGCAGGGCTTGCCATTGCTAAGCAATGTGATCATGTGTCATCACACTTTACAACCACATCACTTAGCAACAGAAATTCCAGTCCCGATTACTGTCATTAACCAAGGACTACCTGTAACTGGTATACATATTTTTCAGAAGCCTTACCTGATAGGATATATTTCATTTGCGATTTTAAAGAGCAGTGTTAACTTTTATATCAAGATTAATAAAATAACAAAAACCAAGTACAGTGGGGCAAAAAAGTATTTAGTCAGCCACCAATTGTGCAGGTTCTCCCACTTAAAAAGATGAGAGAGGCCTGTAATTTTCATCATAGGTATACCTCTTTAAAAATCAGACAATGTGATTTTCTGGATTTTTTTTCCCATTTTGTCTCTCATAGTTGAGGTATACCTATGATGAAAATTACCGGCCTCTCTCATCTTTTTAAGTGGGAGAACTTGGTATACCTATGATGAAAATTACAGGCCTCTCTCATCTTCTTTAAAAATCAGACAATGTGATTTTCTGGATTTTTTTTCCCATTTTGTCTCTCATAGTTGAGGTATACCTATGATGAAAATTACCGGCCTCTCTCATCTTTTTAAGTGGGAGAACTTGGTATACCTATGATGAAAATTACAGGCCTCTCTCATCTTCTTTAAAAATCAGACAATGTGATTTTCTGGATTTTTTTTCCCATTTTGTCTCTCATAGTTGAGGTATACCTATGATGAAAATTACCGGCCTCTCTCATCTTTTTAAGTGGGAGAACTTGGTATACCTATGATGAAAATTACAGGCCTCTCTCATCTTCTTTAAAAATCAGACAATGTGATTTTCTGGATTTTTTTTCCCATTTTGTCTCTCATAGTTGAGGTATACCTATGATGAAAATTACCGGCCTCTCTCATCTTTTTAAGTGGGAGAACTTGCACAATTGGTGGCTGACTAAATACTTTTTTGCCCTACTGTACTTTCCAAGTAATGTTGTTACTGAAATATAATACAAAACTATACTCAATAAAGCTTAATTACTATTTGATTTGATACTATTATTACCAAGCCATATCAAACTTATTGATAGGATTTGTAAATCATAATTCAACATGTCTGGTTACATCTATTTTATGTGCTGCATTCTAAACGTGCACGTGACTGTATATAGGAAAGTACTAAACCGAACAAATATTAAAGCAAATAACAGTGATATACAAGCAACAGTTCTGAACTGAACCATTATCTTGTAGGACTGTCAGATATACTATTTAATGTCAAGCTATATTTCTTTGATCTAAACCAGGGGTCCTCAAACTTTTTTAACAGGGGGCCAGTTCACAGTCCCTCAGAATGTTGGGGGGCCGGACTATAGTTTGAGGAGAGCCGCCGGACCTGGCATACCTGTCATGTAGAATAGTCCGGCTCTGCGATCTCCCTCCTCGTGCATCGCCTGCAGCTCCTGACACAGCCCCAACCCTTCCGCTTCTGCCAGACA